GTTCTGATTCGGTTCTAGTACATACATACATAGGTACCCAACCCTAATTGTCGTGGCAACAAAGTTGTAAAATTGGATATGACGTTACACTGAAAATACTTTTTTTGGCCCCCACTCATTTCCATTATAAGTGCCTCATTGTTAAACCAATGTTTGCTTTTTTTTTTTTTTTAAGAAAAGAGGAGGGCAAGTCAAAAATTTTGTTGTAATCAACATAGTGCCACAAGCGGTGTTGATTAAAGCCGTAATTTCCCTTTAATGTTTTTAAAAGTTTTTTTCTGATATTATTCTGCTATTATAATGATTATATTCAAATGTGTGCTGTCCCGGGTGAACTAGCCACAAACATTTTCCACTAGCAGACATACCGCCCAGCAGGGGCGTCATGCACTCATTATTTTTGAGGGGGCACGAGTTGGGGGGGGGGGGGTCGTCATGTGACACACAGCAGCCACAACGGAGGGAATATACGGAGGGAAAGTACTCCTGGGGTTTGCAGCCTGAGGGATTCGTGCTGGTGGTACAGCACACGACATGTCAGTCCACATCAGAGAATCCATCTGTGCTTTGGCTCATTTGAAACCAATTTCTTTCTGCCAAAAGTGATCCCTGCAGCCACACAAGTACCAAACGCCAGGGTGCGGTGTTGGTGTTCACAGGCCTCAACATTATTATTCCTTCTCGGCCTCACATGCCAAAGCTTTAATTATGCAGTGTCATACTATGGATACTATTTTGGAGTAATTACAAGTCAATAATTACTGACATTGACCCACAGTGTATATTTAGGACCAAGTTTGAGGCCCTTCCTATTCCTATTAAGGCTAAATGTAACATTTCCTCATGCTTAAAGATAGCAATGTCTTTTCAATGTCACAAAATGGTTTGTGGAATGTTGTTTTGACAATTCCATTTTCTTCTTTTCTGTCCTAATCCGTCTTCTTAAGTGTAACATCCCTTTTCTGTTCACATAGGCTTTAGATTGCTCTGCTACACTATTAGATACCTCCATTGTAATTTTATACAGTGCAGTTGTTAGACTGTAATTTAGTTTAGCCTTATATTAATTGTTTTTATGCTGATACTTTAAACTGTACAAAATGTTTTGTCTGTTAAACTAAAAACGTGTTTAATTCAAGTGTAATGTATTATAGTAGTATTATTTAAAAGGACTGAATCAACTTGACTTTTTTGAATGAAAGTAGGGTCAGATCATATAAAAATAGCTGCATATTTCACTTTTTACTATGTCATGTGGATGCAATATCATAACATTAGTGAGAATAATGCCTATAGATTTTTTTTGTAGTCATAACCTGATATCAAATATAACTTATCACTAGTGTAGCCTATGTATTACCGTTTAAAAGTTTTGTTCAACAAGAATGCCTTATTGATTAAATGTGACTATAAAGATTTTACATTGTTACAAAAATATTAAGCAGCACAACTGTTGTCAACATTGATCATAAAAAGAAATGATTCTTGAGCAACAAATCAACATATTAGAATGATTTCTGAAGGATCATGTGACACTGCAGACTGGAATAATTCAGCTTTGCCACCACTTTGAGTAAATTACATTTTAAAATATATTCAAATAGAAAACAGTTATTTTAAATTGTAATAATATTATACAATATTACTGTTTTACTGTATTTTTGATCAAATAAATATAGCTTTGGTGAGTGTAAGAGAATTTTAACATTTAAAACTTTTAAACAGTGTATGTTTTTTTTTCTGAATCTAAATGTAAATCAAGTAAAACTTGACCTTATAGACCGTTTTCTTCTCATCATTTTTTTTTTTTTGTGCCTGGTGTAGACAGGTCCTAAGTAAAGGTTAATATGCGGCTGTCACAGTTCACTGGTGTTCCCAGCGTGCCTGAGCTCCCTGTCTGAATGGGCAGGATGGGGGAGATCCACACAATAATAAAACCCTCTCCGGCTCCCATACGTGCTAATCCAACATATCCCACATCCCCGGGAGGAGGCGAGATATGAATCTACAGGCTTACATACAATATCAGCTTTAACTTTTAGACAGCTAATCCTATGGAAATCCAGTGGATGTTGCACTAAATAAACGATGTATATATTCTATCACAACTGTCTTGTTCAGTTTGCTAGTTTAGATTTGTGACCCATTGCTGCTATGCAGACTTTGCTGCCACATAACATTCACATGCACATTTGACATGACCCAAGAAACCCATTTTACAGCAAAGGACTCGTACTAGCTCATACAGGCTGTAATATAAAGCTACAGGAAGATAAAAACAATCCTAGAATCATCTAGTTAGTGCCAGATAAACAAACACTAATGATCTGTTGTTGTTTTCTTAATGATCCATTGTGCATTTACTGCTTAAAAGCAGTTCTCAGAAATTTCCCTACTAAATATCAGCTGTGTTCGCCTGATTTGTCTAAAATAGCACATTTATGCCTATATCTCCTAGCAGGAAAGTCCCTTTGGAGTTTGTTTTGACACAAATAACATGATCCAGAAAACTCAATTACTTCCCACATAAGTCTTGTGGCTAAATCTGGTCAGTTCAGAGATCAGTGCTCAATTCAGTGTTTGTGGAGCCCAGCCCATGGTTATGTTAGACAAAGACAAGTACTGATTTCTGCATTCTGCCAGCAATTTTTAAACCCTTCTGTTGTTCTAAACTCATATGTCTTTATTTCTAATTTGTATGGACTCAGGAAACCTGATGTATGCCGCAGCTTATTAATCTTTATGATACTTTTATTGGTGCTTTGTATTGTTTTTGAAAAGCTGACATGATCCTAATTTAACCCTATTGTTTTTGTTATCTTTGTTTGATGTCAAGATGTACAAATTAGGGACTAAGAAATTGGCAGAATTGTAGTCAGTCGTTGGGCCAGATCCTTTTTCTAGGAATTTTTTCTAATTGATAATTGTCATTTTTGAAGTTCACATTTATCTCGTCCACTGAGCAGTTTGTAAGACATGAGAAAGTTTGTATGATGAAAATGTATGTGAATCACGGCACTTGTCATGTGCACAAGGTAATTTTTAATCAAATTGAGGAAGTAGTCAAATTCAAATGTTTACATGCTTTATTTTTTCTTATTGATCGGATCGTTTTAGGTCTACACCACCCTTTCAATCTGATCGAAGTTTCGTTTGGCTCAGGCTTAATTGGATTGATTCATATGTTTACATGAAGGCATTTAAGCAATAAATCATTATTATAAACATAATTTGGGTGCGTGCAAATATAGCTACCGCTCAAAACCCAGCGACTATAAGCAAAAATATAGCAAAAGAGTTAAAAAAAGGCTTAATTTTGGTGATTTATTATTATACTCAAATATGCAAAGTGACTATCCCATTCCTAGCCTTTTTGTTTTGTTTTGTTTTGTTTTGTTGTTTTTGGACACAGAGTAATGGTGTAGACTAGTTGTGAAACCAGATACTGGTATGCTCCAGCAGTCATGTTTCCTTGGGTGATAGGATACTATCCCGTCTGGCAGCCGTGGTGGCTCCAATAGGCGTTTAACTGGCATTCTTGGAGAGCCATTGTGAGAACAAGGATCCTGAATGTATGTGAACGATGCATGAGAGCAGCAGGTGCAGCGTCTCCTGCAGTACTCCTTCCTCTGACGTCTGTGTGTGGGTTGGTTTCCTGTTGTGTCAGAATGTTAGAGTGGAATGAGTTTCTGCACAATGCCTCAATGAGGCAACTGTATGCATGACAACAGCATTTGCATTACAGTGCTGTTAAAAGAATTTCATTGAACAAGGAGTTTGTTTGCTTGCTTGTTTGGTATTATATCTTTGCATCAGTTGGTTAACTTAAATGCAAATGATGAATTGAGGTATTTTGGGACACCAGTACTCTTAATTAGATGCCAAAAAAATATTCCAGATTACTGTAATTCATTTTTTGTACTGAATGTTAATGTAAACCATGTGAGTTCTTGTAAATAGGCTAATGGTTTGAAAATGGTGTTGGCCTAAGTATCCCCATTAGGGGGCAGCAGGATCTCATAAAACACTGATCTGTGAAGGCCTATGCAGAGTCCAAAAAGTCTGAGACCACTGGTGAAAATTAGTTTTGCTTTTTTTTTTTTTCATTTAATACACTTTTCCATTGCAAATCATTTTATTGTCATACAAATTTAACGAAAAGCTAAACCAAAAAAATAAAATGCATGTGAAAATGCTCAGACATTTTTTTTCACCCTTTTGCTTTGCTTATGCAGATTTGAACTGCATAAACTCCTCAAGTTTATATAAAACCTGATGATCATATTCTTAAGCATGATTTTAGAAGATCCGAAGAAGATCTCTTGATGAATGAACATCTGGCTGTCTGTATAAAGGAGCTCACATCAGGAATGTCACAACTTTGCTTATTTGATTAGTGACCCAGAAATATTGTTCAATTTAAAATATTTCTTATTCGTGTATTTCTTAAACATTTCTTTTGTTTTAAAACTTCCAAAACTTGTACTAGGACTTTTCACATTGCCCTTAACCCTGGATTATCTTCGTTCTAAACCCTGGTTTTAACCCCTGGCTAAATGAACGTTTCACACTTGTAATTAAGAAGCAGGTTTAGCACCACATTTTACCTTTCGTTTCTGCATTTAAGTGGAAAAAAAGATCAGTGACAGACAGCACATGAATTGGAGAAAAGAAGGGACCATTTCATTCTTACATTTATAGTTCGAAAAGTCCATTCTGTCCACTCTTACGTCAAGCAAGATAACCCAGGGTTAACTATTTGAAATGTGAAAAGCCTATTGTTTATTTCCAAGTTTGAATTACATTTTGAGTTTAAGATTTTCGTTGTGGTCTTGACTTAGACACGTTGTTTACACTTTTATGGTGTGATTTCATTACTTGCTTCATAATTGTATGTGCACATGCTGATAATAACAACAACAGGAGGAGTTATTATAGCCTTCGTCAAGTGTGTACAAGAGGTGTGACGCTGTGATGTCTCTCACACACACACACACACACAGAGGTATGTGCGAGACGCGCCCAGGTTCATTTCACAGTACGAACTCCTACCGGTGCTCATCCAGAGTTGGAGTGCAGTGTGGAGCTAGACATCTCTTGGAAATCAACTTATTCTGTTTGCCGGATACACTTATACTTTAAGAGGGATCAGTATTTTACAATATGTGAGTACTTAATGTGATAATGACTGTAGTTTATCATATAAGTTACCATACAAGCACAACTAAATGCCTAGAGCTAGCTTTCTTTTCTTTTTTTAGAGAATGTTCTCACTGGTTGTGTGATATGATAGTTGTAATTATAACAAGTAACAATTTTTGGGGTTAATGTGTTTTTAATTCTGCCTTTTCTAAACATCGGGTTGATTTTTTTGCTTGATCAGTTATCAGTTCTTTAATATTGAGTCTACTGATAAATAGCACCAACTTTTTAGAGCCATTCATTCTCAAATCAAGAAATGTTAACTTAAAAGTTATAGCCTAAAACAAAGACAAAAATAAAACAACTTTGCAGTAATTTTATTGTTTTTATAATATTACTAATAATAACATCCAGAAATAAAACTGTAGTTAAAAATGGATTCCCAATATAAAAATTACTACTATTGGTTAGGATTTAATATTTCATTCATTACTGGTAGAACAGTTAACAATAATTATAATAAAACCATATAAACATGAGGCTATTTTTTGTGTTATATCTCTTTAAAGATTGTGATATGGAGAATGACTGGTTGCACTGTTAGTGACTTAGAGTGCATCTGCAGTTTCAAAGTAATAAAATCACAGCTGACCGATTATAGAGCATCTGTTAATCATTGTTCCAACTGTAGATATTCACAGCTTACTCAGGAGATTGTCATCATGACGTAGAATAACATTTTGACATACTGACAGGAAGCCGGCGGTGAGACTCTTGGATTTGTCAGAGTCATACACCGCAGAACATTTGTGACCCTGGACCACAAAACCAGTCTTAAGTCACACGGGTATATTTGTAGCAATAGCCAACAATACATTCTATGGGGCAAAATTATCAATTGTTCTTTTATGCCAAAAATCATTAGGATAATTAAGTAAAAATCACGTTCCATTAAGATATTTTGTAAATTTCCTACCGTAAATATATCAAAACGTAATTTTTGATTAGTAATATGCATTGCTAAGAACTTAATTTGGACAACTTTAAAGGCGATTTTCTCAATATTTTGATGTTTTTTCACCCTCAGATTCCAGATTTTCAAATAGTTGTATCTCAACCAAATACTGTCCTATCCTAACAAACCATACATCAATGGAAAGCTTATTTATTATAAATCTCAATTTCAAAAAATGTACCCTTATGACTGGTTTTGTGGTCCAGGGTCAGATATGTGTCACAAGCTGGTAGTGGTCTGGACTTTGGCATTATGATGTCACATATTGTCGGGAAATGCCACTGAAATATGCATAGTATATAGTTAATTTAGATGTTAATTTAAGTTACTATTAGGTCACTTTATATACAAGTATATATATATGTTTGTATATATAAATAAAGGCATTTGCCATAAATGTAAATGTAAGAGACGTGAAAACCAGTCTGTAGCTAATTGCAATTCCTTTTAACTGTAAGTGGTCTGAGAAACTGTTGTAGAAGGAATCGAGGTTAATTAATTACAAGTGAGTGCAATGAGGCATAGCAGCCCTCTTCATTTACCTCTTCTGTAGGGAGCATTCCAGTGTTGTAATCTAAGCACAGCACAGCCTTGTTCCTCCTGGAAAATGGACATTTTTCAGATACAGATGGATGTTTAAAGGAAGAGTATTTACTTGAATGGCCTCTTAGTTAAAGCTCACCCTGAGCTCCTGCTGACGGCGCATAGCCGAGAGGCGTAGTTAGACTGATTTTTAGTGGCCCTGTGAAAACTATTGTTTGCCAGAGCAGTCTCCTGGAATCCGCTCTGACCCCTGTGGCTCTGGGTCAGGACACCCGTCACAGCTGAGGGGCTGAGTGGTTCCACGAGACTAGTTTTTGTTCACTTTGGCTTGACCAGCTAAAATAAAAGTTGTGCTTGCTTTTTAGGAACTCGTAAGAGAAAACCGAGGCTTTCACTTCGAAGATCACTTGACCAGCCGTCATGGAAGGAAAAGAGGAGATCAGTGATACTGACAGTGGGGTTATTCTGCATTCTGGTAGGTTCAGCCTGTTACACATTGCCTATACAATGATATATTTTATGCCATATAGCATGTGGTTGTGAGATTAAAGGGTTAGTTCACCCAAAAATGACATTTCTATCATCATTTACTCAGCCTTGTGTTGTTCTTTCTTCTGTATAGTTCAGTGAAAGGATTAGAAGCTAAACATTTTTTTAAATGCTCTTAAATCACTCTTGGGAAGTAAAACTTTGTCACAACACATAAATAAAATGATATTCATAATAGACATGTATAAAATTATTTTATATATATATACACTCACAGTTCAAAAATTTGGGGTCAGTATGTCTTTTTCTGATGCCTGAAAAAATGCATTACAGTTTCCACAAAAATGTTAAACTTTTTTTTTAACATTAATAATAATAATAATAATAAATGTTTCTTGAGCATCAAATCAGGATATTAGAATGATGTCTGAAAGATCATGTGACACTGGAATAACAGCTGCTGAAAATTCAGCTTTGCCATCTCAGGAATAAATTAGGCCTAAATTTCAAAATATAATTTTTTTTAAAATAATATAACAGTTGTTTTGAAATCTTAAAATGTTTTACAATTGTAAGAATATTTCACCTTATTTTTGTTTTTACTGTATTTTTTGATCAAATAAATGCAGCCTTGGTAAGCATTTATTATTGTACTATTTATTATTTTACTTACATTTACTTACATTTGTAAATGTATGTAAAAAAAATTACACTACTGTTCAAAAGTTTGGTCAGTATTGTTTTTTTTCAACTAATTCTCGTGAGAAAAAATAATACTGACCAAACTTTTGCAAAAGTAAAAAAATTTTTACATACATTTGCAAATGCATGTTTTAGTAGTTGGTTTTCAATTCTGAAAAGGATAATGTTAATGGTGTAACGGTTTAATCGGAAGCAGCTTACAAAGGGACATAATGTATACCTAATAATCACATTTTTTCTGTGCATTCATACATTTCTTTTTTGGTCATTGCTCAGTTATCTCTTTGTGTGCTGTCACATGATTGATTGAAAATGTATGTTCAAGAATTCAGTAGATAAGCTCTCCAGACATGCCAGAGGCATTTGCTTCCAGTCACCGGATAGAGAAAAAATAAATCCTTTGTTGTCAATCATTTAGCCGTTTTCAGAGACTGAATCCACCAACATAGCCTTCATTTTCATTTCTGATCATATCATAGTTGTTGATGAGTATTTGTTTCCTGAAAGTCTAGGTCAGTTTCTGAGATATGACTTTGATCAAACGCTGATTATAAATTGACATCATTAGGGTTTTTTGTTAGGATACATTACTATATCATAATTTGGTTTCAATTTAGAACAAACAACATTTAGTTATCTATATTGACTATACCCATATTGAAACAAAGACTAGTTCTTTATAAAATTGCTGATTTTCTGTTATTATCTTGAAGTTGCTCCTCATCAGGGGTCTTTTATTTGTTGTAGGGCCTGACAGCCCCACCACAGTGATGAAGGATGTGAATACTCATACTCGGGTCATGAAACTCAAGCAGCAAGCTCTGGAGGACAGGCTGAAGATGTGCTTACTGGAGCTCAAGAAACTCTGCATCAGAGAGGCCGTAAGTTACCGTTCACACTCACTGCTCCACCAAAACACTCCTGAAGAGAGATAAGGCAGTTCTCACACGGGAATTAGAGGGGACTTCCGCTGCATGCGGATACCATCATGTTTTTGAAGTTAAATTTTCCGCCCAAAATAACTTCTTCAGAAGGCATGTCAAATGCTGCAGGATGCTTAATAGTTATTTGTGGTATAAAAAATAAAAACATCATTCCCACCTCAAGCCAATGACTGAGTGAGCAAGTCACCGAAAGGTTCATCACCTTCAGACCCAGAGGCATTGTGGTGTATTAGTCCTCCTGATAAGATGTTAAGTCACAGAAATGCATCATTGCTTCCTGTTGGAGTCACTTGCTGTGGCTTGTCCAGGTGTTCTTCAGTGCCTGATGACACCTTTATGTCACAATAAGTCTGATGTCACACCAGTGTGTATCATCCATTTTTGAAGGGCTTCACCTCTATTGAGGTTTTTTAAAGAGCTGTGGGCTTGAGGTTTTTGTCTCAAAGAGAATTGTATCTAAACGTATGCTGGCATGGATTTGGAGAAGATAGATGGCTGGTTTAGTTTGGCAGGTAGAGCTCTTGGTACAGATTAGGCAAGAACCGAATCTTTCAACAACAGGCTTGCATAATGTAGCGGTTGAAAGCTGTAACTTGTCCCGACTCGCTGAAAGGTTTCATACTGGAGAAACAGGAATTCTGGTTAAAGGCTTGTTCGTGATAACTTGCTCGTCGTGACTTTGTTCTGTTTCACTTAATTGTTTGATGATGTAATTAATGTAATTATACTTACAAATAACATTGACAAATTACAGATCTTCTTGACTGCCCAAGATAGATTTTATTTATTTTTTTTTTTTCAAATAGATTTTTATTATCTGCCTTTTGTCAGCAATAACAAAGAACAAATCAGTTATGAGCCAGAATTTTAATTCTAGGGCATCCCTAATCAATTCCCTGTTCTGTTTTAGGAGCTCACAGGACATTTGTCCTCAGATTATCCCCTGTTACCTGGAGAGAAGCCCCCTCAAATTCGTCGGCGCATCGGAGCTGCTTTTAAATTAGATGAGCCAAGCATCCTACATAGAACTGAGGTAAAGTCCTACACTGACTCTTAATCTGTATTCACACAAACCATGGATAACAATCGACGGTTCATATAAATAAGTCTGAATCTGATGAACATGATACACAGGACTCTGAGCTGAGCTCTGTGGAGGCAGGTCTGGCTCTTCAGCAGCAGATATACGTAGCGGCCCAGAGACTGTGTCAGGAGGAACATCTCAGCAAAGCGGTGAAGAGGAGTCGTCTACAGCAGTACCAGCGTGAGGGAAGGAAACTCAAAGAGCTACAGGAAGCTGTGTTCAGGCTGAGACTGGAACATGGCCGATCTTCACCACGCCCTGGCATAATCACACAGAGAGGAGGTGAGTGATTAATAGGAGCACTTTTTCAGGTGTTTTTTTTTTTTTTTTACTTTTTTCACTTTACTCCACCATGTAATGAGTTAACAGCTTGATTATCAAAGATCATCTTGTTCTTATTTTATCTGTTTTATATCAAGGCACTTCAGACAATAGCTCGTTGTCAGACTCTGCTGTGCTGGATGAGGGTAAGGCAAAACCATGTTTATGCATAGTGTTTTTTCAGATATTTTTCAGATATTGCAATCCCTAAAAAAAATATTTTTATATAAAATTATTATTATGTTTTTTTAATATATATATATATATATATATATATATATATATATATATATATATATATTTTATATATATATTTTT